AGCCTTGTGCAGATCTACAATCTTGTCTCTGACATCCTTTGACAGCTCTTTGGTCTTGCCCATGGTGGTGGGAGAGGTTGGAATGGAAGATACAGATTGTGTGGACAGGTCTTATACACCTAACGAGCTGACATTAGGAGTAACTTCTTAAAGTGGCAGGACTAATCTGTGTTCCACATGGGCACATAACCAATCTGTGGGAGCCAGAATTCTTGCTGGTTGGTAGGGGATCAAATATTTATTTCACTCACTGAAATGCAAATCAATTTCTAACCTCTGTTTTTCTGGATTTTTTGGTTGATATTCTGTCTCTATACGTTAAAATAAACCTACCATAAAAAATTACAGACCCTTCATTTCTTTGTAAGTGGGCAAACTTACAAAATCAGCAGGGGATCAAATAAATATTTTCCCCACTTCAATGTATGTTCATTTCATCTGTGAATAAAACAATTAAAAAAATATAAAAGTTAGAAATGTGTCTATTAATAAAACAAAATAATATTATTAATATTAATACCCTGTACTATACAAAAAAGTTTATATTTGGGAATTACAGTCCTCTTTATGTTTGCTCAATATACAGTACTTTACTTATAAGACAGAACACCATGTTTTCGTTCCACATTATTTTTGCTAACCTTGCTAGACACAATAGTAATTCCAGTAGGTGTCCAGACAGGGAAGACCTCTGTTAACACTGACACTGAAGGAATAGACTCCTTATAGTGCCAGTACATATCCTGAGATTGCTCTGAAGACTGTGTGTGTGTCCTGTGTATGTGTGTGTGTGAAAGCATGTGCTCATAAAGTTACTGTTAGTTTCTGAAATCCTCACCATGGGAGGCTTGTCTGTCCTTTTCCTACGAAGTGCCTAAAGCATCCTCATAAATAAAACCAGATGGCATCAATATGTCTTAAAATGGAAGGAGAGTTTTGCATTGGCCTTGCATTGTCACATCAACAGTTCTGATAGGCAGAGTTTTAGTGTTTTATAAGTTAGTTGACTGTTTTTCTCTTTACAGCAGGATGAAGACGGCGGAGATCTGTGTGGTCCTGTTTGTCTTGGGCTGTGTGTGTGAACTGTCATTGTCTTTGGACCCCCGAGATCCAAATGTTTGCAGCTTATGGGAAAGGTAAGAACATCTGCTCCAATATAGAGCACAGAAAGCCAGTGCCAATAGAGATGATCTGCTCCAATGCATGCTGGCAACCAAAACTGCTGTTGTAGATCAATGTCTACAAGTCAAACAACAACAACACGGTAAAAATCCAGTCAAAATGTGAAAATGTAAAACTCAGTCTAAAGGATCTAAATATAGTTTATTAAACGAGATACCCAAATGTTACCCAAGAAGCAAAATTGCAAAACATATCAAGACCTGTTTCAGACAATATACTTCATGTTTTAAACAATTATTATATTATATTATATATTTTTTTTAAATGTCTGTGACCCTATAGGACAGGGCTGTCCAAACTCGGTCCTGGAGGGCCGGTGTCCTGCATGGTTTAGCTCCAACTTGCCTCAACACACCTGACTGGAAGTTTCTATAGCCTTGTCCAAATACCCACACTTGCGGTCTTTGCACTTGACCACTTGACTACTTATATGACGTATTTCCTGTATTTGGCCCAAGTGTTCAAGTGAGGATGAAGACCACAAGTGTGTGTCGAACTTTTCATTACCTGATGGGACACACTTGTAGTGTTGTAAAAGTGCAAGTGTTTACATAGCTTTATTTTAATTTTAATTTTAAATACTTTGCATTTTAAAATAAACTTCTAAATGTCTGTTCAGTAGTCCCTATAACATGACAATTTTAATTTGTGGTGCTTCTAATTAAGTGATAAAAAGCAGTTGCAAATGTTGTACAAAATAAATATCACCACTACTCATCTTTGCACCAATAAAACGTAAAAACACTGTTTTTCTACCAAATTATATGTAATATCTAATTATTATATTAATATTTAACTTGCACTGGAAAGGTTTCCATGACCTCTCACGAGATCTCGGCAAAAAGTTTCACGATTTATTTCCAGAACATGATGCATGATGGGATACACTAAGCCTCGAATAGCGCTCCGGAGCGGTATTCGAGATAGTGTGGATTTAGTGTGCTTTAAGGGCACTGCGCTTTGGCGTTTTTAAGACCTGGGACAGTCTTGCGCACTTACTTCCTGTCGCGCACACGCGCTCTCAAGTGGCCAAGACCGCAAGTGTATTTGGACAAGGGGATCGCCTAGTAAGAGCTTGATTAGCTGGTTCAGGTGTGTTTAATTAGGGTTGGAGCTAAACTCTGCAGGACACCGGCCCTCCAGGACCGAGTTCGGACAGCCCTGCTATAGGACAAAATGTCTGGAAATGGATGGATGGAAATTTTTACAGCTTTTAAAATTTATTTGTGAATCATTAAACCTTAAACTTTAAATATCTTTTAAGTCAGAAAGTCTACATTTTTTTATGTAGGGAAAAAAAATGTGATATCCTTTTCAAGTAATCTCAACCACAGACCTTATTTTACTCATACATTCAAAACTGTCATTCCAAAAACCCATTATAAATTCCTAGCTCGAAAAAAAGTGAATTCTCTTCTCAGTTTTAGCACTACAAACTGGGCAGCTCTGTAATACCCTTGAGCAAAACACTGTACCGGGACATTTCCAGCAATTATTGTGTTGTACATCAAGTTGAATGATGCTAAACAACAAGTGACTGGTAAACACGACAAAATCTTTGTTCCTTTCTAGTTTCACCACTTCAGTGAAGGAATCATATGCTCAACCTTTCGACCAAGTGAAGTATGAAGAGACCTGCTTTGAACCCTGGAGTGCTAACAAATGCACCCGGCACAGGTGACATACACTGACAAACACACATGCACTCAAGCATTTGCTCACAGTTACACTGAGCTGACTTAGACTGAATGCAGCAAGAATTCTTTCATCCTACTGAGCTGCAGAGGTTTTTGGTCATTGGAGGGATTGTTTGGTTTGTAAAGTCTGAAAATTGCTTTGAATCCAAGTAATTGCGATGCTGGCGTTCACACATGCTCCCTTTATTATAATACTGGCATGGAAACTCGCTCTCTCTGCCGGTCTTACGCTGGCTCCCAAAGGCCTTTTTAAGTTGAATCTGAAATAGGGCGAATGGGAAGGGTACCGAACTTTTAATACATTTCTAAATATTATATTTTTCTGTAAAAAAAAAAAAAAGGTGCCAAATGTTGATCCAAGACAACTATTGAATCAGAAGTCTCTATAGTATATTCCAACAACAGCTGATTTGTGATAATGAAATAATGACTACTGTGTGGTGTACTTGCATTCAGACTGTGTATTTTTCCATGTTTAAAATGAAGGTTATTAAACTTTTATCTCTCTCATTCACTCTCCAGGATCACCTATAAAACACTTTATAGGCAGGTGGTGAAAATGGACTATCGTAGGAGGTATCAGTGCTGTCGTGGCTTTTATGAGAGCAGAAATAAATGTGTTCGTGAGTATTAAATTGATGTTTTACCTCTACCTTAATGGTTTTGACCGGTTTGTTTTTGTATTTTGTTTATGTTTCCCTTCCTGCTCGTGTGTGTGTGTGTGTGTGTGTGTGTGTGTAGCACGTTGCACTAAGGAGTGTGTCCATGGCCGCTGTGTAGCACCTGATCGCTGCCAATGTGAGAGCGGCTGGCGTGGAGAAGACTGTTCCAGCTGTGAGTAATGCGCCACACTTTCTCTCCTTCTCATTCCGACACACAAAAACAACCAAAAAGTGCAGCATTTAAAAGCATTATAAGTGCAAAAGCTGACATGAAAGCTGTTTTAAAAATCAGGGAACTTCTTTGCTTTCTTTAAAGATACCTTTTTTATGCTAAATTCTAATTGCATAATGCTTTGCAACAAGCTATGTTAAAAATAAATCCAAGATGGTGGACAGAGGAAGAGCTATGTTGATTGTAATAAGTATATTTATAATTCATCTAATACCTGAAACTGCACACAGTTTAATAAGGAGAGACATTTCACTAGTGAGTGTTCTGGCTTCATGTGTCGTCATCTGTTAGTGTTGCTGCGTATATTTTTATTGGGCCCCATTTTCACCCTTTTCTTTTTCCTCTTGTTTTCTTTTCCCCCTCTCCTCTCTCTGCATCTGCTCTCTCCTTAACTCTGTTCCTTTTCTTTCTTTTAGTATGTGTATGAATCATCAAAATAAAAATAAGAGTTTGCACAGCTAAGGTTTCTAAAGCATCTCCATTTTTTTCTCCATTTCTCCACATACAAATTATGCAGTCCCGTGATATTTTAATATTATTTATATTAGACATTTTTAACTTTTTGATTTTTTAGTTTTCATTTTAGTTTTAGTAATTTTGTTATGAGTTTTTTGTGACTTTTTAATATTTAAATTTCATTTATTTTTTTATTGTTTTTAGTTTTTGTAATTTCAGTATTTCAATGTAAACTTTTTTCAGTTAGTTGCAAATGCAAAATTTTTCATATAATAGTTTTCACATAATATATGTGACCCTGGACCACAAAACCAGTCTTAAGTCGCTGGGGTATATTTGTAGCAATAGCCAAAAATACATTGTATGGGTCAAAATTATTGATTTTTCTTTTATACCAAAAATCATTAGGATATTAATTAAAAATCATGTTCCATGAAGATATTTTGTAAATTTCCTACTGTAAATATATCAAAACCAAATTTTTGATTAGTAATATGCATTGCTAAGAACTTCATTTGGACAACTTTAAAGGCAATTTTTCAATATTTAGATTTTTTTGCACCCTCAGATTTTCAAATAGTTGTATCTCGGACAAATGTTGTCCTATCATAACAAACCATACATCAATGGAAAGCTTTATTCAGCTTTCAGATGATGTATAAATCTCAATTTTGAAAAATTGACCCTTATGACTGGTTTTGTGGTCCAGGGTCACACACACATGCGCACACACACACACACACACACATATATATACATATATATATATATGAGATTTATCAGATTTATTTCAATTAACAAAAATGATTTCTGATGCAGCCAACTGAACACTTTATAATTTTGGGTTATTATAATAATTGAATGGGTCGTATGATTCTCTTATTTTTTTTAATGTTTGATGTTCTATGAAAACATACTGTAACTTAAAAAAGCCAAAAATAAATAAATAAATAAAAAGCTTTTAATGGAACTAAATTACTAAACAACTCATGACCTTCTGCAACACAGAATGATACACTGACTGTCCAATACATGACCGTCCAGTGTTTACTGTAGTATCTTGGTCTGTAATACTGATATGATTTGTAAAACTGTGGTTTCAGAAGAGTACAATGCCTTACAGGCTCCTAAGTGGAGTTTACATAAATGTAATGGAAACTCAAGGCTCTGGTTCTAGGCAGAAGACCCTTCTCTCTAATTTGGTCCTGCTTTTTGTTTGGTTGGACTTTGAAACCCCATTATTAGCTCGCATTGGCAGGAGGAGGCTTGACACTTCCTGAATGCCTGTGTGTTGGGAGGTTTGTGGGAAATTAGAGAGGTTTGAGGTTTTAAATACACATTTCTCCCACTCTGTCCTGAAAGACCAAAGGCCAAGCTCTATCAAACTGCTATACAACTTCTTGTCTGTTTAAAATGACACAAATAAGATCACTATTATAAAGTAATTATACAAAACAGCCTGCAGAATAAACTAAAAGGTACAGGGCGTGCTGCACAAAGCAAAAACATCATTTCGAGTTGGATGTCCATAATGGTCTATATTTTCGCATTAAAAAGATATTCATGGCTAACTATTTAAGGATGGGCTTCTGGGAAATTGCCTTTTAAGACCTTTAACCTAACAACAGCTTTTCTCTTAGGGACTAGAGAGGAATTTTCCCACATTTAAAAAAGACATTCCATATCTACTGGAAACGTGCTGTTTTATAAAACTACTTATATTTGATTCGCTTTCATCTTCAGACAAGAGAGTGAAAATGATCTGCTTCATATTCATCGTTTATAATATTCCATCACAAGTTTGTCATTTCAGATGATGCTGATTTATCCTGATGGACTTTAGGGCAAAGGGGCTTGGGAACAGAAAACGGGACTTGTAATGTAGTTCATGGAAGCAGCCTTGAATTGAAAATCAATCAAGTTCTGAGGCTTCCTCTTGTCTGTTTAAAGTGGTATGAATGAGCTTTTAGAACTATGTCAGCTCAGTGTTTGAATCGAGACAGCTGGTGAGCTCCAGTTCCTAAAGCTTGACATGTGAACGTGGGGTGTTGGAATCATTCACCTCCCCTGCTGTCAAGAGTGTCAGAACCCAGGACTCTAAATCTCTGTCCTGAAGTAGAAGATATTATAGAATAAACCTTTTGCAACAGTCTGCAGAATATATAAAAACTATAACAAAAATTTGTGAAAACAGTGACGTTCATGCGCATGCGTATTAAGTCTATAGGTACAGTATGTGAGCAGGCGCATAGTGTTTCTTTTCAAAGTGATATCACCAACTACTGGCCTGGCATACATAATACAGTCATTTTAGTCTTTTTTGCAGGTCAGTGGGGGATTGTTTTGACAACGTTATCAACTGTAAGCAAAATGTTTCAGAAACACAAAGGAAAACATTTTCCAGTTTGTAGTACATTGTTGTTGTGTATTGTACTGAAGGATCATGTAACACTAAAGACTTTGCCAGCACAGGAATTCATTACATTTTAAAATATATTAAAACAGAAAACAGTTATTTTAGATTGTAAATCTAATGACCCCAAACATAAATGGTAGTAAAAATAAAATAAAAAATAAATAATTTATTTTTTATACTGTACATGTTCTCCTATCAAAACAGAAAGAAACCATTCAGTACAATGGAATACAGAAGTTAACTAGTATCGTAGAAGCCAAATGAGCTCAGAACCTCACTGATTAATGATCTCTTTGAGTTCCTTGACATGCTCTGCATGAGTGGGTGTTTATGTGTCTGTTTCTGTGATGGATCCCTCTTCTTAACCCCTAAAGGGTACGTGTCATCAGTTTAGGTTGTGTCATGACCGAAATCCAATCCCTGTGTGAGCGCTGGCCTGAGCTCTCTCTGAGGTCCGGCCAAACTCCATCTGTAAAATTTCCCATTTGAAACTCATTCCTTCTGTTGAGCTCTGTACAAATTCTCTGGTCAATCACGCTATCAATTTGTTACGCTCTAAATGCCAAGGATGCTCAAGAGAATCTCTGAAGTATTCAGGAATCCCTTAGCACCGACTTGCTCAAATGACCAAACACAGTCAGACCAACTTAAGACAATAAGAAAACCAGTTTAATCCAAAGAAAAGCTTCTTGTAAATGCATCTGAACAGACTTTTTAATATGCGTGTTTGCTGATTTCTCAGATTTAGCTGAATTTGTGTTTGTGTTTAGCATGTAATGCCCAGCATTGGGGTCCAGGCTGCAGGCAGCGCTGTGAGTGCCAGAACGGGGGAGAGTGTGACGTTATTAAAGGAAGATGCCAGTGCCCAGCCGGATACACTGGTGAACACTGCCAGGTACAGCCACACCAACAGCCTCTTTATTAAATGACCTGCTTTTATTCAAGTAAAATATATTATGTCTAGATGAAGTATACATTCAAAACTTTACATTACTATGTGATTTGGGAGATGATATTCAAAAAAGCTAAATTTACAATATATAACAAAGTTTCATTATTTGAATTCAACACATTTTCTTCCTGTCAGGACCCCTGTCCTGCAAAGTCATTCGGTCAGGGCTGTCTGCAGCAGTGCCTGTGTGGAACAGGAGGATCCTGCAATAAAACCACTGGAGAATGTGTGTGCAGAGATGGATTTACTGGAACTCTGTGAGTGCTGGAAGTACCTTAGAATAATAATGTGGCTTCTTACTGCTCTCTGTATATTATGGAAGGATTTCAAATGCTAAATTTACTCTTGTCACATATGCTTATGTATATTTTTACATACCTCACATTATTCTTATTTTAAAGCATTTCGCTGACATTATATACAGTACAGTATGTTGTGTCACGCATGGGCACATATCATATACAGTAAACAGTAGTCTTCCTTATCTTTGCTGCATTTAGTTCAAAAACACAGTCAAAGGAAATTTCATTTGACTGTCTTAGTACTGGAAAACAACACTATTTTAGTATTATTTATATGCTATTATAGTATTTATCAGTTTTTAAAAAATTATTTTCATTTTAATTCTCATTTAAGTTTTAGTAATTTAGTTATGTACGTATGCCATTTTTATTAGTTCTTCATTTGTTAAATTTCTGTTTAGTTTTAATTCAGTTTTCCAGATTTCCATTTTAGTTTTAGTAGTACTTCATCTTAAATTTATGCAGTATTTTACATTTAATTTTTTTGTATAATATTTTTACATTTTATTTTATTCCAATTACTGAAAGCGTTTTTGGTTAACAATAACAACACTGTTGAAAAAAACTTTTCATGTTATTTCATGTATTAATTTTACAATTAATATTCAGATTGAATTTTCTTTGAATGAAAAGTTGAATTGAAAAAATGATGTCAGAAATCTTCTGAATCTAACCTTTTGTACAAAGGAGTTCACATGGTCACTATAACAAATTTACTTATTTGTTTAGTGACCAAAAAAAGTGTGTATCTGAAATCTTCCTTAATTCCTTCATTTTACTCCATAATGTTTTGCAGTTTTACATTTTTACAATCCTAAAACATTATCATTGTTTGTCCAGGTTTGAATTGAATTTTGAATCAGATTTTCACTGTGCACCTCACTACTGTATATGGTGTGACATGTCTCTGTCGCTCAGGTGCGAGGAGCCGTGCATGAGGCCGAGCCGATGTCCTGTACGCTGCCCGTGTCAGAATGGAGGCATCTGCCAGGGGAGAGGGGTGTGTTTGTGCCCACCTGGCTGGATGGTGAGAAATCTGTGTACCGGTTGTGTTTTTTTATTTTTTATTCTTAGTTGAACATCCATTTTTAGCCTCTCTCTCTCTCTCTCTGTTTCAGGGTGCAGTGTGTACTGAGAGGTGTCCACTGCGCCGTTTTGGTCCAAACTGTGCTAAAGAATGTTTGTGTCATAATGGAGGCCACTGTGATCCAGAAAAGGGCCAATGTCAGTGTGATGCAGGCTACACTGGAGACAGGTCTGCATCATTTTAATATTTGCATTTTGCATTATTTTTTCCCTACTATCTGCAGTCCTATCAGAACAGACCTGACACTTGTTTTTGGGTCACAACCCACCAGTTGAGAAACTATGTGCTAAATGACAACCAGAGCCGGCCCAAGGCATAAGCGAACTAAGCGGCTGCTTAGGGCGCCCGTGGCCACCAGGGGGCCCCCAAGAGTACAAAAGCAATATTAAATATTACAATTATTTATACACATCATCTTATTATTTCAATAGCGACGCAACATGCAGGCACAATAGCGCTGAATGACAGATGTATGACTTTTATTTAGTTTTTCCTTCTTTATTCAAAATATCCACAAACTTGTTAACTAGTCTAAATCATTAACTACAGGTGCATCTCAATAAATTAGAATGTCGTGGAAAAGTTGTTTTGTCATTTAAACAACATTAATGACCATGTTAGTTGATCTATAATGCGCGCTGGACGCTGTAGTGTGGATCTGTCGAATTTACATCACCTATATTCACCCATTTCTCCCGAAATGCATGAAAGTAAGTGGCCAGTGAACTGGGAGAAAACAGAGTAAACTTTATGGTTACCTACACAATGTGTATTTGATAGGAATAAAACACGTCGTCAGATTTTAATTGCAGTCAGTTTATTATTGACGCTTTCCATAGAAATCAGTGTGTATTTAACAAACTATACATTTCTTTTTTTGCTAGTACTTAATTGAAATGTCTATTTAAATGTCCGAAATCTTAAAATAAATGAAATAAAGAGGTTGAAAATACTGAACAGTTTTGATATATGTAAAGCACCGAGCGCGTCTTTCTGTGGCTCAGCGCCAGCCAAAGCGCAGCACGTCAAAGGGTTAAAATCGATCACATTTCGGGGGTGGAGGGGGGACAAATTGAACCTGGGGTGGGAGGGGGCCTGGCTGACTAGTTAATTAGCATAGCCTAGGTAGGGTATCTTCTTGTTTTAGGGAAGATCATGTTTGATTAAACATCCATAAATAGCCTTGACATCATAATATATTATAATATTTTTGATTAAAGTTTTTGTCTTCTGAGTAAAAATAACTTTCCTGTGTATATATTTTTGTAATAAAAATAAGCTTCTGTTTCATAAACTTGGTGCCGATAACAGCTTAACATTATTTACCTTAGCCTACCATTGGGGTCTTGCTATATTCCAATATCACTATGCCTCAGTTAGCTAGTTATAGATTAAGAGTTGTTGTTTTAGATGTGTGTTTAATAATTTATGTTGTTAAAATAACATTCTGTTCCGTAAATGCATTGTCACCTGGTTTATTTAGCTACTTTTCAGTACACCACATTAAGTACGTCACTTAGCACTGTAAGACTTTGAATGTTAAAGTGCAAATTAACACCTGACCACTCTTATGGGTTTGCTACTGTTACAATTAAAAATCGTAGAAGGGTAAAAACATAACAGGCAGACATTGGTATGATGTAAGCAACACAGCTACAACAAATAGAATCGATAATGGGTGTGTGAATAATCAAGCATTGACAATAATCAGTCGTATTGGCGGCACTGAGGGTCCCCATGTAAAATTCTGCTTAGGGCCCCATAAAGGCTTGGGCCGGCCCTGATGACAACTTATTGGTTGTACACTAGTTGGTCATTCAAAGTATTTGGTAGGTATGGATTTGTAGCTCTAGAAAATCTTGAAAAAGTCGGAAATCCACAGAAAGCCTCTGATAATTATTTGAGCAGCATGGTTATACTGTATGATTCCCTCTTGAGTGAGCACGCGTGTCTCTTGTGAAGGTGTAACGAGGAGTGTCCAGTGGGCACATACGGTGTGGACTGTAAGGGTGTGTGTGACTGTGCTAACGGAGCACGGTGTTATAACATCCACGGTGGGTGTCTGTGTGAGCCGGGGTTTAAAGGTCCACGCTGTGATCACAGGATGTGTACTGATGGGACCTACGGCATGCACTGCGAACACCACTGCCTCTGCAACTCACAAAACACTCTCAGGTGTGCTGTTACTGATGATCACTAAATTTGATTTGCCACAGACTGAACACAACTACTAAAGAAAATTACATGCATTTTGTTCTCAGAACCAGTGTTACTTTAGTATGATTTATGTACTATTATAGTTTTTATTAATATTTTGAATTTTATTTTAATTTAATGTTTTTGTTTTAATTTTATTTTTAGTAATTTTGTTATATTTACTAGTGGTTGACCGATATTGGTTTTTGACAGCCGATGCCGATGCCAATATCTTGGAAAGCAGGGAGGCCGATGGCCGATATAATTTTATTTATTTTTATTAATTTTTAAGAAATTTGAAATCATTTGAAAATTGTTTTAAAAATAAATGTGTTAAATAAACATACTTATACTTTAGATGACAAAGTATTTTTCACAAATAAATAAATATTTAATAAAATTATAATTAAAAAGGAAGTAAACACTGTAACCAACAGGGCACTCAGTATTCTGGGAAGTTTGTGTGCATTAATCATATATTTTCAAATAAAGCCAAAGTAACACTCATTTTACATGCAGCACACAGTGAAAATGACATGAATATGACAGCGGGCAAATGCATAAAACGCAGCATAATTTAAAATCACGAGTTAAAGTTTGTCGATCGCGCATCTCCAGTGAAGCTGAACTCTCCTCCTGTCCGCATTCAATTCGCACGGACCGACCGTCACACAGAGAACACGCGATCATGCAGCAAATGCACACTTCACAAGATCTCACAACTGGATCCGACTAAGTTTGCAAGGTTTTTGAAATTAGATGTTTATTAGACATGCAAAGATTTGTTTAAATGATATAAATGTGTATTTGCTGAATGCTGACAGCAAACAAGAAAGTATTATAATGTTTGCCTTTCTATTACTAATAATATATAAGCAATCGTTATAAGACTTTTTGTATACATTAATTTCATTGTTTAACCGTTCTGATCATTAGACAGACTTCTATCCGTATTTAGACAGAACTGTTAACGACGACGGCGAACAATAGGGAGAATGTGAGCACTTTGTGCCCAGGCGCTGCCGTTCTCAGTGCCGTAAAAATAAAAGTCCCGCCTCGAACGTATCGGCAAAACAAGAAAACTTATCGGCCGATGCCGATATTTAAAAAATGCCAAATATCGGCCGATATATCGGCCTTGGCGATATATCGGTCGACCACTAATATTTGCTAGTTTTGTTTTTTTCTAAACGG